TAAATGGACTGCTGTGTCCGGTCGATGAAGAAAATGATGACTTGCGTTTCTAAAAGTGTGCCATTTTTTAGTTTATTAGGAAAGTTTTTTCTTTCCTCTTTGAAATGGAATTGATTTTTTTTTCCTTCTTGTTCTTCTTTATAATTTTACAATGTAAGAATCAGTGGTTTCACTTTTTCAATGATATCTGACTGACCCAATAAAAGGGAGTATTAAATAAAAAAAATCTCTCTCTCTCTCTCTCTCTCTCTCTCTCCGTGTACCTGCTCTCCGTGCTGGAGGATCTCCAGTCAGAACTGTCTGCTCTCCGTGATCGGCGTCTGTGATGAGAGTCACTATGGCACCTTAAAAACACACACACACACACACACACACACACACACACACACACACACACACACACACACAGTACAGTGGAGAGAGGTGAGAGTTAGAGACACAGGAGACACAGGGAATAAAAAGAAGAGTGACTTAGAGGAACAAAAGATAAAGACAAGAGAGAAGGGAGAGAGATAAAGGGATACAGAGTGTTGGGGAGAGACAAAAACAAAAAAAGGACAGGACAAAGTAAGACAGAAAGCAAGAGATACACAGAATGAAAGAGGAAAGAAGGAGAAGGAAATAGCACCAAGGGACATAGAGAGGGGGGAGCAGTGAAATATTTGCTGATATTTAACAGAACAGGAGTCTAAAATTAATTACAAAGACATACGCACTAATCCCCACAGCCATGCTCCAAAATCTAGTTTAAACCTGCCTGTAAGAGTCGGGCGTGATGGTCAGGTGTCCACATACTTTTGTTCATATAGTGTAGTTGGTTCTATTTTTCCAAAATCTAAACAGATCAGTCATTTATAGCACAGTGTCTCTGACCAGGATAATACAGTTACTGAAAATTAATAAATGCATGCGATAGATGTGTTGCGCAGAGCCCCACCAGTGACCTGTACGTTCCCATGTTAATGAACGTAAACACCCATTAAGGCACTTCATCATGTTTTATTGTAAGTAGCGGCACCCTATAGGGTACTTCATCATGTTTTTTCAAATGAAGGGCAGCCATTAGGGTACTTCATCACGTTTTATCTACATTACTGGCACCCTTTAGGGCACTTTTGCTGCATCTTTTTCTATCTAGGGCGCAATAATGGGGGTGGTGTTGGGTTGGCGGTTGCCCCTGAGTCCGCCAGAGATGGCCCATGGAGTAGACTGTAACTGTATCAGAGCTGCTCTTTCACTCTCACAACAGCACATTTACTCTCTCAGGCTCAAGACCACTGATATCTGTGGCATGATTTTACCTCTTTAAATAGCAAACTGCCACGGCAGTGTGAAAACAGACATGTAAATCGAGTTTTATTGAGTGTAACATGTATAGAGGAGCTCGTGTAAGAGCTGTAAGACTGAAATGACTTACAGAGTGACTTTAAATCAGAGCTGTTGAACAAAGACAGTCAAAAAAAAAAAACAAGTGGTAAAAAGAATTTCATTTAGTGAGTCAGTTGAGGAAACATGACAATTCTCATCAAGCAGACTATACAGGCCTCCCACACACACACACACACACACACACACACACACACACACACACACACACACACACACAGGTCTCTTTATACCTTTATTTCTTTCTATCTCTCTCTATGTCCTTTTCTTCCTTGCTCTCTCTATCACTCTCTTTATCTCTCTCTTTCTGTCTCTCTCAGTCTCTCACTTTCTTTTTCCATTTCTCTCTCTCTCTGACTCTATCTCTCTGTCCTTCACTCTCTCTTTCTTTGTCTCTTGCTTCTTTTCTTGCTTTCTCTTTGTCTCCCTGTCTCGCTTACTCTCATCCTCTTTTTATCTCTGTATCTCTCTTTTCTCTTTTTTTCTCTCTCTGTTCGAGTGCTCACACACACACATCCTGAACCTGGGGAAGGTCAGGAACACATGATGATCCCAGCATATAGATGCCATGAAACTGCAGTGTGTGTGTGTGTGTGTGTGTGTGTGTGCGTGTGTGTGTATTTGTGTGTGTGTGTGTTTGTATTTGGCTGTAATGTAATAACACAACACTAGTCATGTGCTGATAAAGTTATCCAACACTAAAAGAACGATAAGCACCTGAATAATAAAATTCCATACTATCAGTTCTCAGTGTTAAACCCAGCATGATTTTCAAATCATGAATCTGAGCGACCAACCTCTTTTTATGTTTTCTTTCTTCCTTCCGTTTGCGTCTGGTGCTTGAGGAGCTGTATGAGGAAAAGCACATAGAGAATTATAGAACACTCAGCACTGCTTATTACTGATTAATTAAATCCATTTCCCTGGATTTCAGTAAGAACACGTTCTCACCTGTCTGTCTGTTAACCTAGTCTCAATCAGAGTGAAAGTTTCTATTAAAAAAAAATGCTAGAGGCGTTTTCCTGCAGTTTGATTTGTGTTCTCACTTTAATGGAACCACACTCGGGTTTGTTTGGAAGTGGACTGAGTCGAGCTCTCTTCCCCTGAGACTTGCTGTTTTGCTTCACAAAGTCTCTAATGTATTTGCTATATTCTCACCTGTACAAATCCTGCATCAAAGGGATAAAAACATACCAGACTCTGACTTAAATACACTGAATACTGCACATGTAAATGCCCTGATTTACTATAGGTTGTGTGAGTAAAAACACGTACAAACTAAAAAAAAAAAACATGTAAGCTGATTTATTAACAGCCTCTACAGAGGATCACGTCCTACACATGAGCAAAATAACACGTGTTGTCTAGTTTTGCATGTTTGTCTTAATGAATATGCAGTTTTTAACTAAAAAAAAAGTGCTAACTTCGTTCATTTTGCCTGAAAGTCTGTTTGAGGAATGAATAAGACCGAAGGGCAGGTATTAAATTTGGGAAAGTCGGTTTTTGCCGTTTACTAAGTGTTAATAAACAGAAAGTTTTACTAAATGTTAAATGTTTGATTTAAATCATGTTTTGGTTTCATTGGAACAGAAAAGGTTTCATTCACACTGACTTTTTAAACATTCACTCCTCTTTACTCTCAACTATTTAAGGTTCAGGTTCTATTGAAAACAGTTTTGCAATAAATCTCTTTGCCATTAGAGATGACGCTCAGTATCGGTGTCTGGCCGATACGAGAAAAAAAAACCTGTTGGATTAGATATTGCAGAAAACATCTCTGATATCAGTAGCAACGATTGGAATTGGATTTGGAAAATACACACACATATCAGTAGCTCTTATTAGTAATCTTACTAAATCAGCACCTCAGTGAACTATATTAGCTTTCATTTAAGGTCTACATGCAGGGAGCTGAACATAACGCGCATGTTAATGCAAAGGAAATTTCCATCTTTTAGGGTTTATTTATTATCATGGTTTCTGCTTTCCTTAAACGAAACACGAACGCAGTCATACCTGTGTCTTCTCTTCTTGGAGGCAGCCCTGTGAGAGAGAGAGAGAGAGAGAGAGAGAGAGAGAGAGTGTTCACTTCATTAGCAGTGTGTTAAAAAGAGGTGTGTAAATTAGTGAGACTGTGGAAGTGATTGCTAAGTGATTAGCAAACAGCCATGAAAGCCATCTGACACATTACCTGTGATGCTTCCTCTTCTTCGAGCTCTTCTTCTTCTTCTTCTTTTTGCGGAGTGGTGACGGACTGGAGGAGTGACACCTGCAGATTAAACAGCTTCCTGTCAGACTCTCACATTCCACGTATTTCATTTACCAGAGTGAATATTAAGGTGTTGTAATAACTGTATTAATAAAATGGATAATGGTGTACAAAGCATTACCCTCATTTGGGATAATAACGGATCGGGATTCATGTGCAATCCTCTTCAATATATTCTCTCTATACAGTATTCTGCTGTAACATCCAGCCCTGACGCCGCCCCGCCAGACCACCAGAGGGCGCTTTCCTGTTCCACCACTACATAAAGCACATGGACGCTGACACTGTGTGAGGTCTTACAGTTTGTCGAGTCTTTCTCCTGAGTTCTGAGCCTCGTTCTTCCGGATAGCTACACCGTAGATTCGACCTTTTGCCTTGCCTCGTTTTGCCTTTGCCTTGCCCCTTTGTTTTGATGATGCAATCTTTTGCCATTTTGACCTTGGCCTGTTCTCTCATTGCTGATTTATAGATATTGTATTTTGGATAGACTTTTCTCTCTGGTATCGACCCTGCCTGTTCTGATATTCTGTTTAATAAACCTCGTGTACATGGATCCTAATAACCTGCCCCTGAGTCCTCCGTTACATCTACTACTATACTACTATTATATTTATTTCAATCTTTAGCTTCTTCTCGTTTGTCTGTTTCTTGCTTCTAATTTACATCATATTGCAATTGCTGAAATATTTCACCCATAAAATAAAATCTGCTTCATGATTTCACATTTTCTATCCCACAATTTAAAATGGGTGATATCGTGATGATAATCGTGAATTTTTTTCTGCTGCAATACGATTTAAAAAAAAATAAATAAAAAAAATCCCTGGAAAAGTCTGGAAACCTTTCAACCATGAACTGCACACACACATAATTTCAATAATGTCAATGAGCCATCTATAAAATCAAACTAAACACCTGCGTAGCACATTCTACGGATATGCTCTGAACACGACCTACTGGTATAACTAGGAATCTAACAGAAGAAAGAAAAAACAGGGGTCTTGCTAGCATTTAACGTTTCAGACGTTTCAGTAAATCAGACCCAGAAAAAGCGTCACAAGTAACGCAAAGTACAGTACACGATATAACGTGTTAGTGTGACTTGTTATAGTGCATTATGACATTTATGAAATGCATATAGAATTAATCAGTAATGAATTGGAGATGAGCTGATACACTCCATTTCCTCCTCACATTCACTGGCTACATGTTGATTAATCAGATGAATTATAAAGCTTTATAACATTACATTTACGGCATTTGGCAGAAACCCATTATCCAGACCGACTTACATTTATACAATTGAGGGTTAAGGGTCTTGCCCAGGGGCCCAGCAGTGGCAGCTTAGGAGTGCTGGGGATTGAACTCACAACCTTTCAATCAGTGGCCCAATGTCTTAACCACTGAGCTACACTCGTCCGTAATGGGCTTATTCTACCCGTTCTACCCGTGGTGTGCGGTGGTACAGTCCAATCTGGAGCGCATGAGCAGGTAGGACAGCACTGAGGCATTACAGTGTAATGAATGCGAGGTATTATACTGCCTTAATAAAGTGGATTATGATGTAGCACTTATTTAGTGCTGGTGGATTTATAATGCATTACAGATATTAGTGTAATGAAGAGCTGTATATTATCACTCTGACCTTTTTACTCCCAATCAGCATCCTCTCTCTCTGTCTCACTCTCTCTCTCTGTCTCTCTCTGTCTCACTCTCTCTCTCTCTGTCTTTTTCTCTTTCCCTAAAAGGCTTGCTCACTCTCTTTCAGTCTCTCTTGCTCTCTCTCTCTCACACACACATACACTCTCTATCTCTGTGCCTCACTTTCTGTCTTTTTCTCTCTCTTTACCTGAAAGTCTCACTCATCCTCTTTCAATCTCTCTCTCTCTCTCGCACATTAAGCCATAGTGTTGAAGGAAATGGCCATTTAATTCTTTTTATTTTATTTTATTTTTTTAAATTTTCATTAATTCCCAATTCTTGGATTTAGGCATTAGAGCAGCACAAAGCTTAAATTCTACACTCTACTGAGTAAGTGTAGTGTGTCAGTGTGTGTATGAGATAAAATAAAGTGTGTGCGTGTGTGTGTGTGTGTGTGTGTGTGTGTGTGTGCGCGCGATCGTTCTTGTAAAAGGACACATTGATTAACAGCAGTGTGTTTCACTTCCAGAGAACGCTGTGCAGTTAAACACACCTCCAGCAGAAACACAGTGTTGTACATCTTTCAGCCATCGTACTCTTTCACTCTCTCACTGTCTTTTTCACTCTCTCTCTTCCATTTTCTCTTTTACTCTAGCTTTCACATCCTCTTCCATTTTCTCTTTTACTCTCTCTTTCACTCTTTCACTCTCTCTTTTACTGTCTTTTCTTTCTCTCAGTCTCTTTATCTCTATCCCTCTCTTTCACTCACTCTCAGTCTCTTTTTACCATTCTCTTTATCTCTCTTGGTCTCTCTATCTCTCTTTCAGTCTCTCTCTCATTTCTTCTCTTTCTCTTTCAATCACTTTCTTTCTTTCTTGCTTTCCTATTTTGATCTTTTTTTCTCACCTTCCATGCTTGTCTGTCTTTCTTTCTCTCTGTCTCTCTCTTTCAGTCTCTCTATTACTCTTTCTCTCTCTTTCTTCTTCTCTTACTCTTTGTCTTTTTGCTGCATTTCTGTCTTTCTTTCTCTCTATTACTCTATCTCTATCTGTCTTTCTCTTTTTCTCCCTCTCTCTTTATTTTTCTTTCTTTCCCTCCCTGTTTTCCTCCCCCCCCCCCCCCCCCCCTTCTATGTTTTGTTTTTTGTTACTGACCTTTCTCTCCTCCTCTTCCTCACTGACTTTTTCTTCTTCTTTTTCGCTTTGGCCACTGGCCTTGGGGAAAAGTCTGCATCGAGCGACACACTGCAACAGAGAGAGAGAGAGAAAAAGAAACAGATTAAATGCTGACAGATGACAGAGACTCAGAGGCATCATTGTCATGTGTATCCAATAACACACGATCTGGCAGATTAGACACAGCACATGGAGAAGTGGACCGAGTCAATAGTCTCGCAAGAGCATGGGAGATTGTGGGAAAGGGGGCGGAGCTTCCATACGCTGTCGGTTAACATTAGAGAGTCCAAAACACCTGCGTACATCATTTCAAGTTTATACGTCGATTGGCTCATCTTCCGTTTGAAGATCTGACTAAACGTCACATTGTTTCTGTGGCAGTGTAATATCATTTAGAGACGATTAAATCGTTATAACTGCACAAGACTAAATGCAATAGATATAATGAATAAAGCACTACCCAGCTGAAAGAGAGCATTATTATAGCCTTTAGTAATCATCCAACCAGGTCAGACTGTAACGTTCCAAAAATAACATTCCTCCAGTGTAAAGTGAAGTGCATAGAAACAAATTGTACAGAAACAAACCTTGGAAAACAAATAGACGCACAAAAACACTGTACTGTACGTGACATATCTGTGGTGGAATAAATGGACAGAGCGAACGCAGGACGGAGAGACAGAGAAACGGCGTTTCCCTCAGTGCCTCCGCACGCTGATAATGTTTCACAGACGGACGCTGTTCCTGACAGATGATGCATTACAGAAATGTTAAAGGGTTTAGCTTCGAGCTATGGCTCTGATGGATTCCATACTAACACTGATAGCGAGACGTTATAGAGGAGTGTCTGAGAATGACAATGATTTAAAAAAATGGGAAGTAGATTAAAATATGAAACACAAGAAACTTGTTGACTAAGTGTCCCTGGAGCAAAAAGTGTATCTAAGGTCAGCACAAAAAGAACATGTGGTTTGAGACGGTGTACAGAGATATTGCGTTACGAAGAGTCACTAAAGCACAGAGCGGACAGCATGAGTAGCTAATTAGCGAATTAGCAGTTCCCTAATTAGCACTGATAGAGGACACAGTAGTCTGAATGGTATTTGTGAACAATGTTTTGCGGACAAAACGTGAACGTCAGCATTATCACACCATAAGTAACATGAACAAAGCAGCTAACACTTGTATTAATTGCTGTGATTTAAATAATATTGCCAACAATCAACAAGAAACCAAGGGTAACTCTCAGCAGGATGCTTCCACCACCATGCTTCACAGTGGAAATGATATTCGCAATGTGATGAGCAGTGCTGGGTTTCTACCAAACATAGCTCTTTGTGCCAAGGCCAAAAAAAAAATTTTTTTGGTCTCATCAAACTAGAAAATGTGTTCCACATGTTTGCTGAGTCTCCTTTTGTTTTTTGGCTTACCACTCTTCCATAAAGCCCCGATTTGTGGAGAATTGTCATCCTGTGAACATCTTCTCCCAGCTCAGTTGTGGATCTCTCCTGCACCTTCTGGGTTACCCTTGGCATCTTGGTTGCTTCTCTGACTCTGAACCTTACTAGGCAGAGTGTCTTAATCTTTGCATTTTTTTAAATAATGGTCTCTGTAATGGGCTCTGTACTTTTCCAGGACTTTGGATATGTTTAGTTAACAAACTCTGGTTGTTGTATAGAGATGTGTTTACATATACTGGGATCACATGACACTTTAACGGCACATTCAACTAATTATGCAACTTCTGATGGCGACTGGTTGGAGAACTGATTCGTGGGTTTCGCAGTGATGTAAGTGCAGTATAAAAGTTGCAATGTGGGGAGGGGGGGTGTTGGTTGAGGGGGGTGAACACTTATGCAACACACTGTGCAAAAGAAAATGAAACAATGACTATCGATAAGTCTGGCTTGTTCTTCACATTCTAGTAAAACCATGAAGTCGGTATGAATTCTCGTATTTGGGACAGAGCCGAGGTGTGTTGGACGAGGGAACTCGTTATATAGGTGGTGCTAATGAGTTCTGGGTGAAAGTAATAATTAGGAGTTGTGATGAGATGGATCAGTGTTTGTGGTGCAGTGAAGTGAGAGAGAGAAAGAGAGAGAGAGAAAGAGAGACAGGCGGCTTTTGCATTAGTGGAGCTATCTCACTTTCAATGCTGATTAGAGGCACAGCAAGTGTCATTTATGCTTAATTAGAAAGCGTTGTCATTCATTACACCATTCGTGTTATGACACACACACACACACACACACACACACACACACACACACACACACACAGACAGACACTCTTGTTTAGGGTAGAGATGCACATTTACATTTTCTTATCTGTAGCATTTGTATGGAAAGTCACAAACTTTTCCATTTATCATCATCTTCTAATCATTACACATAAATAGAGAGATTTCAGTGAAGCGGCACTAAAAGCTTTCTGCACTTACCATCTTGTGCTTTTCTTGTAAACACAATATGTCTATATTTGCAAGATTTCTGCTAATGCACTTATCACACACTGCGATTATTTCAAATCAGCGTCAATCCTTCCATCAGGCCGTATAAGCAACCGCTCAGCGTTCTGTGTGATGTGTGTTGTTCTTTTTTCCTTTTTTCCAATAATTATTTTTATTGAGTGTTAGGAAATAGTTTCCTATAATTACGCAACCGTGTTGATCAGTGTCTCAAATGCACATAATATCCGAAGATTATTCCAAAACGGATTAGAAAAACACACTCCGTGTCATGCTTCATCGGAAAATAATCAATGATAGCGTGGTGTGACGGAGAGAAGTTTCTGTTACCAATCCGAAGCTGATTCTTTTCCTAAAACAAATGTTTTATTCCTCTTATACCACAGCGAGGTGGCAATGATTACAATTTTTAATTTATTGTGTTTTTTTTATCCGTTTATAGTTACATTTAATATTTAGCTTTTTTCTCTCTCTTATAGTTAATAAGATATAAAATCGCAGCTTGTCATGTTACCGAGAAACTGCAAATCGTAAACTGCTCTGTCCTGAAGATGTCAGAAAACTGTTACAACGCGCTGACACTGGAGACTCCTTCCAAAAATGTTAAATAAACGTCTCCATATGTGTCTGCCGTGTGAACGAGCTGTTACTATAGAAACGCTAACGTATTAGAACAAGTGCATTAACATAAACCTGTTATCTACATTATTGTCAGAGCTGCTGTTATAGAAAGTTAATCAACAGCTTCTGACCAATCAGATTATTCAACAGCGCTGTGGTATGAAAATGGACATTCACCTCTTTTCGTCAGTCAGTAATGGTATTCAGGCTTGTTGATCTTCATCAGTAGGATTACACACAGATAAAACGAATAAACTGCACGTAAATGTAGCTATTGATTCACAACACCACATATCACAGCACTGCACGTGTGTGTGTGTTGTTTTTTTGCATTTACACCTTCTTCAACCTTTAGAAGCTTTTCCCTCCCATCACTCCTCCCAGGCTCTACGACCTTGAGGGCACGCGGGTGATGAACGACTGTGGAGACTCGTGAAGGTTATGGAGCTAAAATCCTGTCAGGATTGATGATAGATGTCTAGCGGAGAGACTTAAGCCGCTGTTAGGTGCATGA